CTCGATGATCTCTGGATCGGAACTAAGGTCCTCCTGCAAGATCTGGCAGAGGAACCTCTGGGGTTTTCACTCCACATCATCTCCAAGTGAGCCATACGCCTACGCTCCCACGGATGAATGTGGCTCCAACTAAGTTGTAAACAAAGATCGTTTTGCAAGGCCTTGCCTGGAGTGTAAAGCCAGGTAAGCTTTTCGAAAAAAAGAAACAAAACAGGGGCTCAGACGACAGTGTCAAATCACATAAATTTCAAGAAACACATCTACAAGGTGTGGCGAACCAGGTGTACTATTCATTGTAAACAATGATGGATACAAACCTTCACATAAAGCCAACGAGCATGGCTGGGTGTTAGATCTTTGGAGTTGGACCAGCATGTTGACAAGCACACGCATGTTGACATATGTCTCGAAGCATGTGAATGCCCTTCCCTAAAGGACGCCTAAAGGACGCTATTGAGCTATTGACATGAACTGCCAGCCCTTCCCTAAGCGTGAGGCCTTGCATGTTTCCATAGCCGGATGTGATTTGTGACTATACTTTGCATATGATAGATCCACTGCACAAACACCGCAGAGCAATTCAACAATCAACAATGAACAGGGCAAACATGTGGTTCACTCAGCTTCAAATACCCACTGGACCTGAGTTGCGCCTCTCCAAAGCCAGAATGCAAAACAGCGGGTGCAAAGGAGAGGGCCCGACCTAGCCCTATGCCTAAATGTCGAATGGAAGCCCCATTGGTCAGGTGCGTCATATTTGAATAGATTCATGATGGATTCATATGACATATGTGTATATATATATACACAAATATATACAGTACATTACAGTACAGTATATATAGATTCCAGTACTATAGTTTTAAGGAATGAAAGAAACTCACAAAAATATCCCTATATACACCGTGACCTTCGCTACTTAAGAACAAGAAGTCACCCAAACCGAAACCACAACCACGCCGGTCGCCGCTTACATCGACCCCTGTCCGAACAAATACAAACCGAAAACACCGGGTCCGTCGCGGAACCGGCCACTGACACCTTTCGGACGTGCGGCGGAGCAGCGACGGAGCGGCGAGTTCGAGATGTCTCCGTCTCCTTCGATGAGGTTTTCGGACATCGTCTTGGCTTGGCAGCGAACTTGCGGCCCTGCCGGCTCGCACGGCTCGCGTGCGGCTCGCGCGGCTCACAGCGCACGGTGCTTCGGGTGGGGTGGAACCCCCCACCTGGGGGATGTTCGGGAGAAAAGCAACATACATTTGGACCAAACAATCAAGGTTTAGGATTGAAATGCCTTGGTCTTGCTTGAACCAACTGATGTTGTCATGTTCAGTGCGGTTCATTCTATGGACAATGTACAACAAAGACTTGTGGAGAATTTTCACCAAAACAGGTGAAGTGCGCGTTTTCTGGGCCGGGGCCGGAATTGAGCGGGGCCGCTCATTGTTCCAAGTACGAACCATCGTCGGACCGTCTTGTCGGCGCAGTCTCGGAGCCGTCTCGTCCGGCCTGCCGATCGGTGTCACGTGGAGGTTCCTGACGTCCGGCGATGCGACAACGTCAAGATCTGACATGTCACGTGTGAGACTGCCACGGCTGCAACAGTGAATATGCACAGACCATCCATGTATGGAATAGCTATTCGGGATCATTATATCAAGGTTATATATATAAGGTTAATGTATGACAATTTCATTGGGGAGCTCTAAGCACAAATGACAAATTGTCACAATCCAAAATGAAAAAGTCCATGGTCCTGCTCAAAGACTGGCAAATAGAAAGCTGCTATAAGGTGTGCAACAAACCACCTAAGAGTCATAAGGCTGAAACATGTTGACCATCTGTGGTAATCTACCATTTTCATGTCTGGCCATCGTGAGCTCTTCTTCACATGGCGACATCTGCACCAAATGGTTTTGCCCGAGCAGTACAGTAGACAGTTCACATGTGTCCACCATACGTAGGAGTAGAAGAATCACACGTCAAGAATCGTCAAGATACATAAAGATAAGAACACGTGACAGACTTGATGGGACATGTGGATCGACATGGGAGCTCCGAAGATGTAGAAGTGACGCTATTACACATCTGGTCCTTTTCTTCCCTCTAGTAGACTCGTGGTTGATTTTACTCTTGACAAAAGTTGTATTGGGTTTCTTCCACGTCTACTACTCCAAAAATCAAATACAACTACATCTGACCAAGTTCTTCTTCCCTCTTGGCAGAGATTCATGGCCCAAACCCGCGGAGATTCGTGGTGCGAGGGACCTGCTGGAGGGGCCCGCCTTGACCTCCGCACCGCTGGAAGATAGAAAGATGACCTCTTCCTCAGATTCCTCCTGTCAACTGGCCGGCAACAACGATGTTGTGGATTCAATCAATCATGCAGAAAAGTTGTCAAGCCAAAGCTGATTTGACGCAACAGTTGGTTGCAAGAGGTGCTTCCAGTGCTTGCTACCTGCCACTAGCAAAGCCCTTGGCCCTGTGCTCCTTGTTCCAATCTCCTGTTATCTCCCACCTTCATTGTCACACCTTTCAACAAGCCGCTCACCATATCTCACCATGGCTGGTATCACCCACCACTTTCCAGCCTTGGCCGGGTATTGGTAAGTGGCCCACCTGCCGAAACCCCCACGGTCCAACGGCGGCGCTCCGGGGCAGCAGAGTAGTTCTTCTGGTTCGAAGACAGTTGCGTGAGGATGCTCCCCGGAAAAAAAAATAAGCCTTCCATTGGATCAAAACCCCCGCAGGGCCAATACCTTCTGAGGCAAAAGCAAGTCCGATTTGGATGCAGGTGTTGGGCGCGTTTTTTGGCGCACAGGGGGACTTTTGCTAGGTCAAGCATCAATGTCCTTCACTGCAACTCAGCAGAGTAGTAAGTTGTTCTAAAAAACACAAAAAGTTGCCAAAGCAAATTTGATACATCAACCGTAAGTTCATCGCTGTGTGAGAGATTGAGATGTCCATGCAATATTGGAACGTCAAAATACCTCTGGAAAAACATTAATTGAATTGATGAACACCTTGTCCCAACCATTATGTTTCGGTCATCCTTACTTATTAAAGCAGGGGAAGTGCCGCCAACTTCGGAGATTCGAAGCCTTGCGAATCGGGACATATCGCGACAAAGTCCGAGCCTCAAATTCGTGGCACGCGGCATGCGCTAACCTCAGTGGCTTGTCCTTCGGTCACGAGTTCAGTCGTGCTCACAAAAAATTGTCATGAAGGACTTGTGCACGTGGTCAAACCCTTTGGGACATTCCAAGAAATAGTGGTCAACGGCACAACCACTCCTGAACAAGAACAGAGTCTCCCGAACCTGACTAGAAACACGAACCGTTGGTCCGGCAGGCCGTCGCCCAGGCAGCAGCCGAAAAAACACAAACCTTGAAACCAATGTGTTTCATGATGTTTCATGTATCCCAAACGCTCCATGGGACTGCCATATATGCCGATCAATTGGGGTGGTGCCAGGGGGGTCAATGTAGGCATATATTCCAGTCCCCTGGAGTGTATGGGTATAGTGATATAGTGAGTAGGTAGATCCACAAATGAACCATGTCTTCCAGATGTGCTGGGAATTTCAGCACTGGCTGTATCGGCAATGTATCGGCACTGAGTTCCAGGCTCAACAGTTACATTGGCAGAGCAAAGCCATGCACGATCGCTCCAATGACACCGTGTTGCTTTCGTGTCTTGGAATCCTGATCAATTTGTTTGTCTGCAGCATGTCTGTCGTATCTTCAGGTCTTGAAATTCGGGCTCTGCAAAATCTGATCCTAGTTTCAAAGTCTCACATGTCATATGCCCTGAAAATCTCTGAGCTCTGTTTCAAAGCTCTGAATCACTTGCCGCTTTTCAGGGAGTTGCTGATTCTGAGTTGCCGTTTCACAGGACGACGCAGTACAGTTAGGCCAACGGTTGAAGAGCTCGGCATCCTACCTACAACACCAGCTGCCTGGGAGCCAATGTTGCAAGATTCACATGCTAGCAATAAAAGCTAGTGCTGGCGCCCCAGCGAGAGAACTGCCAAACTGCCAGGAAATAAATGTGATAGCGTCCCTTAAAATCTCGTGAATTATCCATTAGAGCAATGACACATCTTCATGTATTTGTTGTTTAATGTTGAATATACAGTAATGAACCATGAGTCAATCATAATCTGCTTTGTTGGCCTGCCAGGATTTTGCAATATACTACGTTTAATTTAGCCAGCATCCAAACCCCAAAATGGATAAACAAAAAATTAAGTTATAAACATGAGACAATAATAATCAGTTTTTTTTCTCTCAGATCCCTGCTGTTCCTTTGTCCTGCTCCTGTTCCTTTCCTTCTTGTTCTTTGTGGACTATTTTTTATATCTCTGCCCATTAGATTTCCAAAGCCTTTGGCTAGCCAAAAAACGTCAGGTTTCTTTATGCAAACCCTATCAAACAAATACAAATACAAACATATACAAACCATTACAAACCCGTTATCTTCAAAGGGTACCCCTTTAGACTCCTACACCCTGCAATCATAAACCAACCTACAATAATCAACCCCCCCTGCAGCCTTGCTGGCTTGTTAGTTATCTTGTGCTTTCCCTCTTGTAATTTCTCCTATCTTTGTCCTGCTCCCTGATCCCTTTCTTGTTGTTCTTTCGAAAGCAACTGAAAGCAACATGAAAGCAAATGAAAGCAAATGGCCTGGATGCTTACAATTGAGATTGAGATCTTTGACCTCCAAAAAATAGAACATTCTGTTCATAGGGGGAGGGGGGGGTGTACTATGGTTTACTATTGTGTAATGAACACTACTGGAGCAACAAAACGCATCCTCACCTGACCCGCCCCGGCACCGACGTGACGTTCGACGTCGCCAGGCTCAGGCCGGTGAGGCCCAGGCATCGATTCGAGAACAATATCTCTGCTGCCCTTTTTTTCCGACATCAACAATGGATCTTGATTGGACCAAGAACACTATCCGCGACTGACTGCTGAGTGAAACCTGTCGAATCTTCAGTACATCCGTGGAGGCGGATAGTTTGTTTCGTGCTCGCCTTGGCTCCGCAAATTCTAGGCAACCCAGCAAGCAGCCGGCAGGCCCGGCAGGCGTCTGGTCTTCGGAAAATCTGGGGCAAACCCAACCGATGGATGTCTTTTGAGACACCACATGTCATGTTGCTATAGCAAGGCAAAATGGTTCGTGCTGACAGGTAGCGCGCATTGATGCAAACACCAATGATGTGATTTCATTCACCGAACAACATCGGTCGGAAGACTCTTCGCCCGTCCGAGTCCGATACACACACACACACTGAATAGGCAGCTCAAAAGCACCAGTGTAGCAGCATGTGCTTACCCCCTTTTCCACCGTCTACCATTGGAATCCCCTGAAGAAACTCGGCACCCGGCTGCCGAAGATCGGGTGTTCTCCTGCAACCAAGCATAGGCGTCCGGATCAATCCTATAGGACATGATATTGATTGTCATTTGCGGCGTACCATCCTGAGACACTGGATCTCTTGGCTCCAATTCTCAAGACCAAAAGAAACCGCTCGCGAACCACCAAAAGGTCCTGTTCGCGACCGGTCCACTTTGGCTTGAGATTGTATTCCCCTAGACTCCCTACACCCTTCATTCGGGGTATGCTCAGAACACGATCCTATCACCCTCAGTTCCTTCTTATGAGCGCTCCAGAGACATCAAACAGAAAACAACACGATTCCCGATGATACGCTGTCAATTGCACGGTTGAAACTTGTGAACCAATAACCCAGAGCACCCAAAGCACCTAGACATATACTGTATATATAAATACATGCAGTATATCGTTTGGGAGTCGGGAGCCTTCAATCAAGACCAGAAGGTGTTCATCCAGAAACCGTCTGCAAAGAAACTCCTGCAAAGACCAGGACTTCATGACGCCACTCTTTATATACCATGATTTCGTCATGCTTCAGGTGTCATCTGCTGGTTCGTAGTTTGCACTGCTCCACCATGACCCGTGGCGCCTCCAACAGGAACAGCGCCATACTGTGCGCTCCTCATACCTGCAAAGCTCATTTACTCGTCAAAGGTCCAGCGTTGACCGCGGGAACCCACAATGAACAGTACTCCTTGCAGGAAGAATATGGTTTTGGAGGTACACCCCGACTCACCAATATGGAAGTGGAACATCACCTCTTTGTAGAGGAACCTAGTCTTCCCGAAGACCATCTGGATTCCGAAGTACCTCTGTCGGAGTGTATGGTAGAAATTCAGAATGAGGATGTCCTAGTCCTCCACAGGATCATCATGAATCATCTGTAGTATCACCAACCCCGTTTTTTCCGTCCGGAACATACGTCAAGCTTCACCGAACCGTCCACCAGTTCCTGTGAAATCGGGGGGCCGCCAGTGACCAGTTTTAAGGATCCTTCCGATTGAACATGTCGCGCCAACATCCAAGAAAACACACCCAAAGCCGCGGACAAACGTGGACACGCGACCAAGCTCTATAGAGTGACTCCAATGAGCTGGGGTCTTCGGTTTGTGAAACGACGATGTCCCGCGTGCCCACTGGAAGCTTCTTAGGGTCGCACTTTGCTTCAAGGGTTCCTGAGGATTCCACAAGAAGACCTTGTCCTCACGGCCACGGAAAAAAAACAGTGCACTTGTGTGCAAAGTTTATCGTTTGCCTGCGTGTTGCAGTGGATTGTTTGGTTCGGTTTAGCCTCAAACTCCAACTATGGAATGACAATCCCTGATTGTTTGGTCCATAATGGCCCAAAACCATTCAACCATCGTCCACTTTACGCGTTCGTGACCTGTGTTATCCGCAGCAAACAAACATCGATCTGCGCAAAGACTGATCTGCGCCGTGCAAAACACCGCTCCTGACCAATCACCAGGTCCTCGAGCGCTGGAGCATGGATGCCCACACGCAACTCCTGCCGGATGCGGAGTTAAGAGTTGTTTTCGGTCCTGTAGGATGCGCGTTTTTTCTGGTCGATGACCTCGTTCAGCGGAAGGGCAGAGATTTCATGTGAACAATCCCACCTCGATGTCCAACCAAGTGTTGTCAGACCCGACCCGAGAGCAAATCCCAATCGAACACTCACTGCATGCATGAACAACCAAGCACACATGACAAATTTTGGAAGAGCGAACATAGCGATCTAGCAACAATTGCTGAGTGCCTGTCTTAGCCTTCACACCATCAAACTGGCAAAGTTTCAGTCCTCACAGAACGACCAAATGCACCACAAGGCATAGGTCTGCAAGGCAGGAGCAAGCACATTGCCAAAACAAATCCAGCCCAGCTGGCATAGTGTCTCAAACATGTCTCAGCCAGGTCGACGGTCTGAACCATTTATATAAGACATTGGTCATCGGAACACATATGACTCATATACGCTAATATATAGCTTCTCCAACATAGCTTCAATTATAAACCATGGTAAAGCATGATAAAGCCCCTTGCATTAAATGGGCTTTGACACGTTTCCCAAAAATCTTAAAGCATAAACGTACATAGCTGACTTGACCTTTCGACTGGCTCAAAATTATTTACAGAAATAAGGAGCGTCGTCCTATACGTGTACTTTTGCTTGTGATGGCCACGAGTGAGAAACACAATCACAAGCATTGAAGACATCCAAAGCGTTCCTCACACAGATATATGATGCAAAATGAAAGAAAACGCCGGAAGGCGTGACCGTTTGGATTTGAAGCTGTGTTTATTACCACTACAGTCGGTACATGCGATTGTCTGATTTCGTTCTCTTCTTGCGCTTGACGCCATAGTCATGCTTTGCCGCAGCAAGTTTGTCAGCGTTACTGTAGTGTTGTTTCACCTTCCATGGCACAGCGCTTGACGGAAGAGGAGACCTTCACGGTCATCGGCGAGTCAGTAATCGCGAATGAGCCGGATGCCGCGGACGAGATGTTGATGCATTTCGCCGATGACTTGGTTAAGATTATTGCAGATGAGTTGGTCAAGGCAGGTGGCTTCGCTTCTGCTGTCTTGGTGTGAACCTGTGTCTTGGTGACAAAGTGCGTAGTGAGTAGTGGCTGGAAAACATAGCCTACTTCAGTCTCATATGATAATTTGGGGACTCAAGAGGCCAGACCTTGCTCCGCCTGTTGCTTTGAGGCTTTGCCAGGTGTGTGTAGAATGTTTTTGACTTGTTGGTGGGTCTCTGGTAGCTTCTTGACGACAATGTTGTCGGCTGATTAAGCTGAATTTCATGTGCGGAACACAGGAAATTATAGATTGTCCAAAACGTCGGGTCAGAAAAAAAACAGGAGGCCAATCTCGAGAACCAATCCAATGACACCACCCCAACAATTCAATAATCCAACATGTGCCCTGAAAATGGATCCACCAAATTTGACATAAATTAGTTGCCTCGTTCTGTACACTTTCTACAAACCAACTTTCCAACTTCGTCTGCGGTCGTCTCACCTGAGGCAGCACGGTCAAAGCCACCAAAAGGTAGGCGCCACTGGTGTGCGGAGAGGCACCGCAGGGGATGGAACGCGGTGCCGAGCCCCACGTGGATCCAATCAGTTTGGATGTCCATTTCATGGATTGCTGGGACATGTGGCACGCTGCCATGTCAGCATAGAGACGTCAGTATATGCTCCCTACTGCTTTGACAAATTGAAGTTATCACAATCACAATGAATCACACATATGCCCCAATGCGTTCTTGCATCTAGCCTACATGATCTTATCTTACATGTGCCTCAAACCTGGAACTATATACAAGTACAGTATAGAATTTGGTATCCCGGGGGGGCAGGTCCAAGAATGTCTTTCCGTCGCGTGCCTGCACAGCAAAAGAGTTGCAGAATGCAAAACGTGTTTGGCTCTTGGGCAGCAATCCCAATTGTCATTTTCTCAGCCATCGAAAGTTGTTGCCTCTTGGAATGATTGGTATCTGTCGGCTCCGTCACCTTTATGTCTCAGGATTGTATTTTCAGGAGTATGACAAGTTGCACGCAAGCAGTGGTTTCAACAGATTCCAAATTTAAAGGGCTTCAAGGCTTGAAAAGAAAAAGTCAACATACAAACAAACCGTCCAGCAGTGGTTGCATCCTCCAAGCAGTCCACTTGAAAAATCCCTGTCTGACTCCATGCTAGGTTTAAAAAAAGAAAAGCTCAGAATCGTCTGAAGTTGGACATGAAGTTGGACATCCCAGAACGAACACCTAAAAGAGACCAACAACAAGGAGCAACAAAGGAGACCTGTCGAGTCCCCGACTTCCTCCCAACCATAAGGGGGTACTCCACCGAGGCACAACTGCACTCGGTCCCCCCAATGCAAGGAAAAAGAAACACACACCAACAACCAAAAAACTGATTAGTGAACTGAGTTCAGGCAAAAATACAGCACATTATAGCACATTCCTCCCCTTTCATTTCATCCTGACCAAGGAACATCCGAACGATGCCACACGAGAAGGCGTCACCGTAGGTCTTCGCCAGTTCGCCTCGGGTTCGGTCCAAGCCGTCGGCGGGATCCGGTCCATGCAACATTCGTGGTTCCCAGGGGTGGTTTTGAGTGGGAATGATTGCAAGAACACACTTATAACTTATATAGTCGTCTAAGTAGATGTAAATGTAAAGTTTCTTTTTTTATATTGGACGAACGATGTGTTTTGTTTGGAAAGAGGTATGAAGAGGCAATCTTCTGAAGAGTTAGTACTCCAGGGTTCACAAAGGTTCTAGGATTGTGAAATTCAGTCTATGCAATTCATATATATGTTAAGTTCTTTTGGTACATGTGAACGAATTTCAGCTAGCTCGCAGCGGCTAGACCCACGGAAAGGACCCCGATCCCTCACAGACTTCTTGTGACTCCTACGGTTACTGCGAAGGACAATCATGAGGTGCTGCTAAAGAATTTCCTAGAATAGGGTTCAAGACCAACACCACAAACGAATCTCCTCTTTTGCCACGGCCTTGGAGGAACACCTGAGTGATTCAAAACATGTACTTTGGCCAAAAGGGTTTGATGTACAGGTAATTCTCTGTAACTTCTGCGCACCTCGATGAACCAATAAGTGTCCATCCCCCAAGCAAGCACTCTCAGGGCTGTGACCTTGCAGGGCTGCCGCTGTCATGCAAGGATCCTGCTGGGCGTCTTGGCTTGCGGTGTGACAAGCTGGAAGCTTACAACTAAGGATGTTTCCCATGAAGGTCACCAATCAGTAGAAAATGGTGCTTGAGGGCAGCTTCTTCTGTGAACCATCCAGGACAGAACCTGGATCTCTCTGTCTTGCTTGATTTCCACCAAACTAGTTCTCCGGGTAACCTGTGACCACGTCTACCGCCAGAAGCATGGGTAGCTCTTTGACTCATACTGATATGTATATATAAAGTACCGCGACAGGACAAATTCGGACATCATAGGAGTTTGTCGCACTACAGTATAATCATTCATACACGGTGCTCCTCCGCAAATGAACGCTATTCGTACCCTGATATATATATATATACTCATGAACCCCTACCGCTCTGCCACAAAATGCAAACAGGCCCCGAGGGGGGGACCGCGTCGTGTAAAACAAGGGCAGCAAGGCCAACAGGCGTGACTGTTTGTCCCTGCGGCAAACAAAAAAAGCCTTTAATCTTAACATATCTTGACACATATACAGAAGGGCAACACACAGTATGTATGCTCATTGCATGTCAGCTAGTTTCCTGACGTTCTCTTTCCTTCCCCTCTTTTCAGGTTCTGGAACCATCTCCGGTGAAGAGTTCCACCCAATGGCACCTTCACCAGCACTCCCCAGGAAAGCAACCCCGTGACCACCTGGCACGGCGAAGCAGCATTAAAACACAGTTGCCTGGAATGCTTGGGATAAAGGCCCTTGAACATTTTGAGAAGAGCAAATCACGCGTCAAACATCAAACAACCAGGAAGAGGATGGAAAAGGAATGGATTGGTAGACCGTGATGGTCAGAAGACATTAATGGTCGAACTCGTAGGACGACCATCATCTGCCATCTACTTTCACCTCTATGGGATTGATCCGATACCAAAAAAACAACACAACCACCGACTTTGCCAAGCAATAAACTCACTATTGACTCAATATATGATGTATATATGGTTGCGTCTTTCCAGCAAAGGTGTCTAGAGATCTCTCCATTTCTGACACAAAAGCGTCGAAGATCCTCTCTTATAGCCAAGCAGTCTAGATTTCCAGTTTGGGCAGCACAAACTGCTGGACTCGCTCTGACTTTCCCATCAGGGTCCCCCCCGAGGTGGTGACTCCAAGTGACGCTTCACGACCAGTCCAGAAACAAGCAGGGAAGGGAAGAACATAGCCGCGGCACTCCACTGACTTGTATTCTTTTTGGGCGCTGTACAGCGGCACAACGCTGTATCCGTATGCCTTGGGTGGTAGGCAACTGGAGGCCTGACCGCTAGGATCTGTACACAAAGAATTGCGGGCTTAATTCGAGCGAGATGTGTCGAAGAGGTGCTTTCACAGCTGTAACTAATTGTCACGATGTCGGAACTGCATGGTCACCTCTATTCTGTGCAGCAATTTGTGGTTATCTATATGATGTGTATTCTACACGATGGCTATATGCTGAGTCATTGAGCCTTGAACTATCTTGCACTGGCCAGGAGATTGTGATACAAATAAAGGAAAGCATGTCAAACGCGCTTGACCGGGCAAACAAGGTAGGGACGGATTGAAGCTCGGAGGTCAAGAGATCATTTAAGCAGTTGCTGTTGCCCTCTTGTGCCTACTTTGCTTTGGCAAGTTGCTTCGAACCTCCTGCATAGTCAGGTGGCCATGGACCATCACATCGAAACAAACAACATCTCACTTCACTGTGCAATGGACACGTGCCCCGCGCACATCAGAACAATTTCAATGGAAAAGGGATTGATGTGCGCCGTCCTTGCAACTACTAGGTGCAGAATTGGCCAGGTCTTTATTAAGACTCTTGTAAAAGAATCATTCCGCAAACTGAGTCCAAACAAAAAACTGTTCGCTCTTCGCCAATCAACCAATGAATGCAGTTTCTTATTCTTTCTGGTGGATTGGCGAAGAGGAATGAGACCTGGCCTGCTTTGCTCAGTCAAATGCTGAGTGATCGGTGCACTTGGATTGTGCTCAGCGTGCCATGCGGCTGCCTCTTTAAAAGGTCCCAGCAAAGCCCAGCAAAGCAACCTGGGTTTCGGCGTTCGGTTCCAGCGCTCGAGCCACAGGGAATCACATGTGGATCCTATGCCATTGTGGCAATGACTTACCGCAGTTAGCTTGCTGCCGGAAACCCGGAGTTGTTAAAAAAGGGCAAGTTAATATATTTAAG